AACGTTTCCCACATTCATTACATGGATATAGCTTTTCTCCTGTATGGATTTGCTGATGCCTAGTTAGACGAGATTTTACCCGGAAGCTCTTCCCACAATCTTCACACTCAAATGGCTTTTCACCTGTGTGGATCCTGTAATGTCCTTGTAGATGGGATTTCATATTGAATTTTTGGCCACAATCAGGACAGCCATAAGGTTTCTCTCCAGTATGGAGACGTAAATGGACATTAAGATTAGACTGCTTATTAAAACGTTTCCCACATTCATTACATGGATATAGCTTTTCTCCTGTATGGATTTGCTGATGCCTAGTTAGACAAGATTTCACCCGGAAGCTCTTCCCACAATCTTCACACACAAACGGCTTCTCGCCTGTGTGGATCCTGTAATGTCCTTGTAGATGGGATTTCATGTTGAATTTTTCACCACAATCAGGACAGCCATAAGGTTTCTCTCCAGTATGGAGACGTAAATGGACATTAAGATTAGACTGCTTATTAAAACGCTTCCCACATTCAGTGCATGGATATGGCTTTTCTTCTGTGTGGATCCTCTGGTGTGTAGTAAGGTGTGAAGACTGATCAAAACTTTTCCCACACTCACGACAGACAAAATTCCTGTCTGACACTGTAATTCCTTTTGGGGGCTTCTTAGTTATAATTTTGATGAAATTTCCTGGTTCAGGAATTGCATATGTCACCTCTGGTAATATTGCCTGAGTATTGTCTTCTGATTTGCTCTCAGCTGGTTTGGACAGCTTGGGATCTCCTGTATGGGTTCGGCAGTGCTTATTTAGGGAAGCTTTAACAGGGAATCTCTTCCCACAGACTTCACACTGATAAGGCTTCTCCCCTGTGTGCTTCCTATAGTGTCCAAGTAAATGAGATTTAGTACAAAATCTTTTGCCACAATCTGGACAGCCATAAGGTCTCTCTCCAGTATGGAGACGTAAATGGACAGTAAGGTTAGACTGCTTATTAAAACGTTTCCCGCATTCAATACATGGATATGACCTTTCTCCTTTATGAATCCTCAGGTGTTTACTAAGCTGTAAAGGCCGATCAAAACGTTTTCCGCATTCATAACAGACATAATTCCTGTTTGACATTGTTATCCCTATTGGGGAATTGGTACTGATGATTTTAACTATTTTTTCTGCTTCAGGAACTGTGCACACCTGTTTTACTTCTGGTAATACTGCCTGAGTATTGCCTTCTGATTTAATCTCAGGTGGTATGGGCAGCTTGGGATCTCCTGAATGGATTCGTTGGTGCTTATTTAGAGACGATTTAACAGGGAATCTCTTCCCACAGTCTTCACAAACATAAGGTTTCTCCCCTGTGTGTATCCTGTAGTGTCCACGTAAATGATATTTGGCATTGAATCTTTTGCCACAATCAGGGCAGCTGTAAGGTTTCTCTCCTCGATGGAGACGTACATGGACATTAAGATTGGACTGTTTGTTAAAACGCTTCCCACATTCGGTACACGGATATGGCTTCTCTCCTGTGTGGATCCTCTGGTGGTTAATAACTTGTGATGGCTGATCAAACCTTTTCCCACACTCATAACATCCATATTTTTTCCTTGTTGCCATTGTGGCTAATTGGGAGCTACTTCTAGGCATTTTCTTGCTAGCCTTAGAAGCTTGTGATAATTCCAGTGATAACTCCTGCCGCCTTCTGGATTTGATCCCCATTTTTTCAGAATGTTTGGGATCAAAGGAAACATCCAACCGCAGAGGTTTGTGAAATTGCTCTGCTCCAGGCTTCTGTTGATGAGGACTTTTTCTTGTAGCGACATTTTCTGCAAGAACAACAAAGATATCCTGTATTGAAGACAGAGGCAAAAGAAGCAACACGGTAGCAGGCAGCAAAGCAAGAAAAAGGGGGGAAAATATGGTCTCAGTTTCAATAGAAAAGTTGTTGGTAGGAGGCAGGGGTGGGTTCTGGCCAGCTTTAAAATTGTTCTGTGCATGCACAGAATTCAAAAACAAAATGGCGGTGACGGCAACCAGGTAACCGGTTCAGGGGTGTGGTAGGCCTGGGTTGCTGCCAGTTCCAGTGACCCAGGCCGCTATACTACTACCAGTTGGGCTGAACTGGTAGGA